TTTTCTTCTGACTTGCTTTCTCGTCTGCTGATTTTCCCTTCAGCTTTGACAGTATATATATTAAATTCGTCCCTAGAGTTCTTGGTTTCATTCGTTTAGTTTTCCACTTCTGGCACTTTCCGTATGGTTCCTTGTCATCATTATGTTCTTTGCCATGGTTCTCAATCTTGTCTTCTTGTATTATTTAAATTTTGTTGGTAACAACTCTGTGTCCTCCCCCTGACTGGTGAGCATGTGGGCTTTTGTGTGCCTGTCCTTAGCAAGCAGGCCTTCCAGCCGTGTGGACACTAGCTTAGCGACGCCTCCATCGAGCAGTCAGAAGGACATTTTCTCTGGCAAGGCAGGTTCCCTAGGGCACATGGGTTTCAAGTCCCATTTGTAGGATTCTCTGACATGCAGCCTCGTTGTCTACACTGGCTGTCTGTTCCAGGAGAAATGGGCCGGACCCCATCCTGTGCTGGGAAGAGCTAGACACTGGGGCCTCTTGAGGTCACCCTGACTTTCTGATCCCTCCCCAGCAAGGCAGGAGTTTGAGAGAGAAAGGCATGGTCCTCCATTACTTGTTCTTCTGGAATGTTCCCCTGGCCCCTGAATCAGCCTCTCCAAACTGAGTGATCTCACACTCTAGATGTTAAAAACTGCTTGCTCAGTAATGCTCTTGGAAGGGCTAACCCATGCTCCTGTCCCACCTCATTGGCTCCTGACTCTGACCCCACCTTAGCCAAGTCATGTCAAATGGATGAACGCTGAGGATCGTGACTTAGAAGGACCAGGGAGTGGGGAACTGGATCATGTGTGTGAAAGTGGGTGTGTGGTATGTGTGACAGTAAGTTCATGTGTGCCAGTATGTGGGTGCACACATGAGTATGAATGTGTTCATGTGTACATGTGTATGTGACCATTCTGTGATACAACCCAGCAATGCAAAGTGTGCAGTTCCAAGGTTCCTAGTAGCCACAGTGTTGTATAACCAAGACTGGCAATCTTAGAATGTTTTCAACAACAACAACAAAAAAACAGCCACTGCTCTTGCAGAGGACCTGGGTTCAGAACCCATAGGCAGGCAGCTCACAACCATCTGTAACTCCAGTTCCAGGGCCTCTGTCACCCTCTCCTGGCCTTCAAAGACACACAGGTGGTGGGTTTATGTTCATGTAGGCAAGACACTCGTATACATAAAAATAAACCTTAAGAGGGATACCGGCATGCCAAGGCACAGGCATGTAATCTCAGCATTCAGGAGGCTAAAGTCAGAGGACTGACTGCCACAAGTTTAAGGTTTGAGACCAGCCTGGGCTACAGTATGAAATACAGCCAATAAATAAATAAATAAATAGCAAAAGCGAGAAGACCGACCTCTAGGCACGCATGGCTGTTGCCCTTCTAAGGGTAACAGCAGCTGTGATTGCCAGCACACAACTGGGCTCGTTAGCACTCAGTCAAGGAACTGGGGGGCTCTCACGGCCACACCCTTCTCTGAGGATTTACACCTGGTTGCCTGGGGGAAAGGGTATGTTCTTCATTGGTAAGGTGCCCCTGCTCCTATGGACAACCCTACTGTGACTCATTTGGAGACACATACACACAAGTACACACACATACACCCACATACAGACACACACACACAAGTACACACACATACACCCACATACAGACACACACACACACACACATACACCCATACACACACAGACACACACACACACACATATATATACACACATACAGACACACACACACAAGTACACACACACATACACCCACATACAGACACACACACACACACACACACACATATATATATATATGTACACACACACACATACAGACACATATACACACACATACACACACACATATATACACACATACACATATAAACACGTACATACACATATACATACACACACATACACACACATATACACACACACACACACACACATATATATATATACACACACACACATACAGACACATATACACACACATACAGACACATATATACACACATACACATATAAACACATACATATACATATACACACATACACATACATATATACACACACATAGACACACACATACACACACACACATACACACACATAGACACACACACATATATACACACATATATACACACACACAGACACACACACACACACACACAGACGCATACACACACAGAAGGAAGACTAGATAGGAAGAGGATGGAATCAGTCCAAGTAAAAGGGGAACAGGAGGATTATGGGAACTGGATAAGACAGAAATACACTGTGCACATGTATGCAAATGTCATAAGGAAACTCTTTATTATATATAATTAATATGTTAACATTTTAAAAGGTCAGGCATGTTGGGCACACCTGTAATCTTGGCATTCAGGAAGTGGAGTCAGGAGTATCAGGGATTCAAGGTCAGGCTTATTCATATGCAGTGAGCCCAAGATCAGCCTGGCCTTCGTGAGACCCTTCTCAAAAAAGGGAAAGGGGGGCTTAGGGGGTGGGGGGAACATCAGGTGGGCACCAGATCAAATGCTCCTTCTTCCCCATGGTGGCCAGGCCAGTTGTGGATCGAGGGTCCCCAGACCTCAGGACAGCAGAGCAGGCAGCCAGGGGCCCTTGAATGGGGCTAACACATTCCTTCCAGGCCCCACTCCCAGGCACCTGCAGGCCCTCTCTCTACCCAGCAGCCTCCATACACACTGTGGAGAAGGGATCTTGCCTTCTGATCAGGGCCCTTGTCCACCTGCTCCATTTTGGCCCCATTCCAAGGCTGAGCGTGGCCACATGGGCTCCCAGCACCAGGCAAAGGCAGAAGGCCAGCTGTTTGCCAAGCTGCTGATTCCAGCTTCCAAGCCAACTACTAGTGGGTGGGAAGGAGGGGCTGGCTGCCCACCTTGTTGGCCAGCAGTGAAAAGAAGAAGTGCCTTTCCTTCACTATTGGGGGAGCCGGGGGCAGGGGCACAGAAGGGCTATTAACAGTGTCCAAACCCAGGGGTTGTCACAAGTTCCACTGTGATCCCCAAAAGAGACACACACACACTGGCCTCCAGTGCCTGTCAGTATGTCCATTTACGTATCCCTTTAGCAGGTATGTTGAAATTTAATCTGGATAGTGAGTCCAGAATTTAGGGAAGACCTTGAATGCAGGCCCAAGGGTTCTTGAAAGGAAGACAAGTTGTGAGAAGCAGGTGACTTAGAGTCAGGACAGGAAGACTGATATGGTCCCTCCCTCCAGGCAAGGAATGCCTGCAGATACAAGTGGCAGGAAGTGCCCTCCCCCACCCCTTGCTAGGAGCCATGCCTTGCTCACACCTGCATTTTGAACTCTGACCTCCAGAGCTATGAGAAGAGATTTGTCTGTTTGAAGCCTCCTGGTTTCTGGGCCTTTGTGACACAGCCCCAGGACGGTCATACAGATGTCCAGGCTTCAGTCCAGGCCAGGGGGCTACCTGTTCTGCTAGTCCCAGGGCCTCACACCCCAGCCCAGAAGAGCAAACAATGTGCCACCACTACACATGAGTCTCCAGAGCTGTCCACACAACCAACAGCTCTGGCGTTAAGCTCTGCTGAACCATACTCGGGAAATCCATGTCTCCTTTGTAAGGGACATGGCGATTTGAGCCCTGAGTACAAAGCTGAGGACACAATCGGCCTTTAGTGGCCAGAAGGTGGGTGCAGATGAGAAAGGGAGGAAGAGGAAGACTACCGAATGAGCAGACAAAGAGGCTGGCTTGCTGTGGACCTCCATGGCAAGCTTAACGTTTTCTGGACAGAGCAGGGCACGGCACGGCTGGCAGTGACCCTCTGCTGCAAGCACACGCATGGAAACTGGCTCGGAAACCCCTTCAGAGGTGGTGTGTGCCAACACTGAGCCCCAACAGTCAGACACCAGGAGACGAGAGGGGTCCTAACCAAGCGCCAGCAGGCAGCAGCAAGCAAGGCCTGGTTGGCACAAAAAAAAAAGATATCCAGTACCCAGGCCCTGGGCATCAATACTGGGTGAGATGGGAAAAGGCCACAGGTTCTCTGAGATCTGAGAATCAGCCCTGAAGCCATCCCTGAGTCTGAGCCTGATGGTGGGATGTGAATTTCATATTTCCTCTTCTACCAACCACTTCAGGATTGACCCGGACATAGGTAGGATATACTCTCCAGTTTTATCAGCTCTCCTCAGCTCTAGGATCCAAAGGAAATCCCTTTCACGTCGCCATAGGCTAGCTAGGGCTGTGTCAGGCTAGGTGGTCCTGTCAGATCCGTGAGTTTCTGCACCCAGACAGGACACTGAACCAGGGAGAAGACAGGACACGGGCTGGTGAGGGGAACCTTGGTGGGATCAAAGTCGAAAGCCTGCTGCCTTCCACCGTTGATCCATCTGGAAGGAGGAACAGGGAACGGAACCCACAACAGGCAGGGGGAGAACCCACCGGGGCTCCAGAGCATCCCTGGGAAGTGGAGGAAAGCTGAGAGGTGCTGGGATATGCTAGGAGCTTTATTTCTTACAGAGAAACCTGCAGGCTCAGGAGTCCCTGAGGTCCCCAGCCACTGTCAGGAGCCTGTGAGCTGGAGCGAGCCGGATGCCACCCCAGCCCAGAGTCAACCACAGAGGGCCTACTGCCCCTCTTGGGAGCCGGCTGTTGCAGCCCTCCCCAAACCCTTTCATTATTTTGGCTCAGAAAGACTGACAGGCACCAGGGGAAGGCTGTAGCAAGTCAACAGAGCTCGGAGGTCAGTCCTGCTGTCCCTAAGAAAGCTCATGCATGGCCCAATAGAGTTAAGTCAGATGTGGTTTCCAAACCCACAAACTGCAGCTCCAGGCTTCCCTTTAGATCCATCCCTGTGTGGGGTCTCTGGCCCACTTTCCCCAGTACAAACAGCTCTCTCTCTCTCTCTCTCTCTCTCTCTCTCTCTCTCTCTCTCTCACACACACATACACACACACACACACACAAGCCAGCTGGCTAAAAGTGGCTAAAAGGCCAAAACTAACACCACTTCAGTCTCTTCTCTACTTTACTTTGTTACTTTGAAACCCCTGGTATTTGCTTAACTAAGTCCAGGAATTGGAACACACAGGGGCTGTGCTCAGGAACACCCTGTGGCTGCAGAACATCACACCACAGGGTCGTCTAAGGCTGTGTACACAGAAGGACCTGGAGGTCCCCCAACGTCCTCACAGGCACCCCGCCCTATGATTTCATCTGCCGCAGCAGCCAGACCTGGGACCACACGGCACTTTGGGCTTCCCAGCAGCCAGTCACGGGCATCTTGTCAAAAAACAAAAATAAGGAAGCCAAGGCCAAAGAAGCCAGGACTGAGGGGAGGGATGATGGGGTCAGCCTGGGGCAAGACTCCATCCAGTGTCTGTGGAATGCAAGGATGGGCAAGGGTGAAGGCAAGGAGGTCATCAGGCCGTGACAGTACCGCAGGGGGTGGGAGCTAGGGCTCCGAGGCTGGCTTGACCAGGTAGCCACTGAAGGTGATGTAGGTGTCGAACTCGTCGCTGAAAATGGCGTTCTCTCTCTCTCCCTTGAAGAGACGCACCCACACCTCATCCTGCTCCTGCAGCTCCAGCATCAGGCTCTGACTCTGCATGATGCTACGGTCGCTCACCTGTGCGTACAGGATCACCACCTCCTCCTGGTTCTTCATGATGTGCAGGTACGTCTCCTTCTGGTTCCAAGTGTGCACGTTGAGGCTAAAGAAGTAGATGCCTGGCACATAGCAGAAGAACTTGCCGGTGAACATGCTGAAGTGTTTATAGAGGTTCACAAACTGCGTGTCAAAGACAACGGGCTGGAAGTAGTCACTGCTGTGCAGAGGCTTCTTTCGGCCCACGGAGAAGGCTGCATAGTGGCTTTTGCAGCGGTCTCCAGGAGCTCCCATGGACCCCTTCTGCCCTTTGGGGCCAATATGGCCCCTGGCACCTGTGGAACCTGTTTTACCATATTTCCCCTGGAGGCCTCGATCCCCTCGGTCACCTTTCTCACCTAAGAGAGAATAAGAAGAGATGAGGCCCCAAAGGAGGTCAGTCTGTAGCTTCTGGGCAGCCATCTGACTCCACACACCAGCCCTGACCTGGGCGGCCTGCTAAGATGTCCCTTAGCAGGAGGCTCCTGGGCAATATTTTGGTTCTCATATCATTAGAGCTAATGTTTCCACTGGCAAGGGTTGGTTTATTTTTATTCAAAAGGCAAGCCTTTCACTTTTTTTCTGCAAGTCCTGGCAAAGATAAAGGAACATATGGGTTTGTCCACCAGCAACAGGCTCCCTGGCCAGGCCTGGGCTCACTCTGAGGAAATGGACTTCGGGTGTCAGAACTCAGAGGAGCATCCAGGCTGCAAGCCTTCCCTGGGGTTGTGTGAGGTTATCTAGAGGTGGGGCGCAGCACTGCAGAGAACTGGCTTGACATCGCATCAAACAAAGAGGTCTGCAAGTCCCACGCAAACAGGGAGGGGCAGAATCCCTGAAGCCCCTCTTCATGTATGTGCATGTGTGGTGTTGGTGTACATGTGTGACATGTGTGACGTGTGCGTGTGTGTGAGTGTGCTGGGGGTGGGGGTGGGGTGACGTGTGTGGGTGTGTGGGTGTGGGTGCGTGTATATGTGGGGGGTGGGGTGTGTGTGTGTGTGTGTGTGCGCATGGGGGGTGTGAGTGTCCATGTGTTGTGGGGGTGTGTGCATGTGCTGTGTGTGTGTGCATGTGTTGTGTGTGTGTGCATGTGTTGTGTGTGTGTGTGTGTGTGTGTGTGTGTGTGTGTGTGTGTGTGCTCATCTTAGGCACTTGGAGAAAATAGATGATGATGCTGGGTATTTTCTCTTTCCAACTTGCCTTTTTTAAAAAAGTTATTCATTTATTTTTATGTGCATTGGTGTTTTTCCATGGATGTGAGCTGCCATGTGGCTGGTGAGAATTGAACCCAGGTCCTCTGGAAGAGCCGTCAGTGCTCTTACCTGCTGAGCCATCTCCCCAGCCTGATTCTGCCTTACCTTTTGGTATAAGGTTCCTCATTGAATCAATTGCTTCAGAAAGCCAGGATTCTAGAATCTGCCTGTCTCTGCCCCTGTCCGTGGTGGTTACAGACGTGTGGCTATGCCGGGTTTTTACATGGGTGCTGAGGATTTGAACTCGGGTCATCTTGCTTTCTCAGCAAGTGGTCTTACCCACTGAGCCATCTCCCTAGCATTCTCTGAGGTTCCTCTTCTGCTCATGGAGAAGGGTCACAGCTCAAAACTGAAAGTTTCTTCCTTCCCTCCAGATGACAGCCCCCCTTCCTCTACCCTAGACCCCTGACCCTGCCCAGCCCCTCCCAGCAGCATCTCCGTATAAAGCAGGAAGCACCCCAGCCGTCTCTGCAGCCTTCTCACCTTTCAGGATGGTGATATTGATTTGGGGTGCTGGGATCGTCTGGTACACAGGCGTGCTGGGCTCACAGCATCTGTAGCACCTGGAAGTGGGGAGGTCCTTGCCCTGGCTGGGGCTGTATTTCTCCTGTGTTTCTTCATCCCTGAGCAAGTAAACCATCGCAAAATTATAAACTCTTTGAGTTGGGAGCTCTCTGCTGCTGCTGTGGACCAGGGCTTGGCTCCCCTTGGCTTTCCTTTCCCTGGGTAAGCAATGCTGTGGTTAGGTTAGGTGGTTAGCATAGGGGTGGGGGAGAATTCTGAGCTCTGCAGCTCTCTCTCTCTCTCTCTCTCTCTCTCTCTCTCTCTCTCTCTCTCTCTCTCTCTCTCTCTCTCTCTCTCTCTCTCTCTCTCTCTCTCTCTCTCTCTCTCTCTCTCTCTCTCTCTCTCTCTCTCTCTCTCTCTCTCTCTCTCTCTCTCTCTCTCTCTCTCTCTCTCTCTCTCTCTCTCTCTCTCTCTCTCTCTCTCTCTCTCTCTCTCTCTCTCTCTCTCTCTCTCTCTCTCTCTCTCTCTCTCTCTCTCTCTCTCTCTCTCTCTCTCTCTCTCTCTCTCTCTCTCTCTCTCTCTCTCTCTCTCTCTCTCTCTCTCTCTCTCTCTCTCTCTCTCTCTCTCTCTCTCTCTCTCTCTCTCTCTCTCACACACACACACACACACACACACACACACACACACACCACTGTAGTAGTAATATATCCAAAGCCAAGGTAATGCAAACGACAGTGACCTCAGGGCTCAGGTGGAGGAATCGTGCCTGCAGGACCAGGTCTTTCAGTGGTAAAGAACTAGGGCTATGAATCTAGAGCACAACCTACCAGCAACTCATTTGTAAACAATTTCACTTCATTCACTTCCTCCTCTGGTGCCTCTGGGCTACAGCGGCCGGTGGACAGTGATGGCTTACACCGCCATCTCATGGCCACATGCAACATTGCACTTTGCTCTCCTCGACACAGAGGGAGCTAAATGAGCCAGCCCCTCTCTAACCCTGATCCAGTCTTCACCCCCAGGCAATCTGGGACATGGGTCCACACACACCCTGCGTTCACCCCTATGAAAACCGGGTTCCTGGAGAAACACACTCACCCACGGCTCTCTCCTACGCTTCAGACCTCTTGCCGGAAGCCACCATCCCACCCAATTCAGCAGGCCCCAGATGTCACGTGTCCAGAGTTGAAGGCCTCATAATGACCTTTTGCCTGTATAACCTGCTTGCTGTTCCCAAATGCTTTTCCCAGCACATTACAGTGGCCCACAATGGAGCCTCCTGGCCTCCCCTCCATGTCCAGCCAGTGCTAGGGCGTCAACCCCTTCCCAAAGCATCTCCAGGACGGACCTGGGCCCTTATCATCTCTAATGAACCATGTGTACCGCAGTCCCGGAGTCTGTTTTCCTTGCAGCAAGGCACTCTCAGATGCTTCTAGTGTTCCTTCTAGAACACCCTCGAATACAAACCTCTCCTGCAGGACTCCCTCTTCCCCACAGAGCGAAGCCTGGGTGAGATTCTCCCTCCCACACACGACACTCAGCATCCCCCATTCCCAGGCTCCAGCTCCCACCACCCCAAACCACGCTCTCATCCTGCGCTACCCACCCACCTCTGCCTACAGCATTCGGTCCTTTCCTCCCACACACAGGAAAACCGGGGACCGCACGGCAGTGGATGCAGCCCTGCTTCAGAGCTTGTACTCTATTGTGTTTGTCTGTCTCCTATGGCCTCAGGTTTCTAGAAGCCAAAGCCTGTCCTCCAGGTGCTGCTCCAGGACCCAGGAGATGGCCTGACTGACAGCAGCTACTTAATCAATGTTTGCTGAATGGAAACAAAGGAGAGGAAGGAGAAGCAACCCTGCCCAGAACCTTGAATATTAAATTGACCCAATATACAGGAAAATGAAGAAACCCAAAGCCAGTGTGGAGCCTTGTGTAGACCTTTAGGACATCATGTTTGATGTCCCTACAAAATATCTTCCATAGACTTGGGTCTGTATATTACTGAGGCTCACAGATATGAAGGCAAGTAACACCTCGAAGTCCTTTATAACCTTTCAAGGGAAGCTGACACCTGACCTTCTGGGTCCAGCACATTCTTAACTGGAAGGTAGACAGACTCCCTGGTAGACAGACAGACAGACAGACAGACAGAGGGACAGGGAGAGGGAGAGGGAGAGGGAGAGGGAGAGGGAGAGGGAGAGGAAGGAGAGAGAGAGAGAGAGAGAGAGAGAGAGAGAGAGAGAGAGAAAGAGAGAGAGAGAGAGAGCATGGCTAGGTAATAAAGGGGGTGAATTTCCGTGGTTGGCTTCTTCCTCAACCTCCTGATTTGAAACAGAAGCCTGCGAGCTCCAAACAAAAGCCTTGTAGGCTTTGGTCTCCACCAGCAGGGTCCCTGCTGACAGCCTGGCTCAGCAGCTTCAAGGCTAGCTCAGGACATGTTACACAACAGTCATGGGCCAATCAACCATCCTGTCTTTCTTCAAACTGACCACCCCTAATTTAGGGAAGGAAAACTCTCTAGAGACTCTCTCCAGCCCTGGAGAAGCGACTGGATGTTTTGGCTTTCTGAGATGCCCCTCTGCAAAACAGAGGACCTCTTCCCTGTCTTCCTGCTGTATGTGTGTGTTTCCTCACTCCTGAAAAATGCCATTCTTCAACTGCTGCGGCCGCTACTGTTTGCAGTGTCTGAGATTTCTCTGCTGCCATCTGTCACACTTGAGTTTTCTCTGCTTTTTTGTTTTTTTTTTTAAGTCTTTAACTGGCAGAGAAAACGATCCTGACCAAGACCCCTGGACTGTATTTCCATCTTATAAATTAATAAGCTGTGGAGGCCACTTGTCCCTGCCTCCTGCTTGCATGTGTGTCCAGGGCGTTGGTGCACATTTCCAGGAGACCAGGCTAGAAGGCAAAGGCAACCTGAAGGGCAGAGTAGGCGCCCTTTCATGACAGAGATGTAAAGTTTTTGCAGACTCGGGTGCCCTGGGGTGAGAATGAGGCTGGACCACCATCCTCAGATTCAGACAAGATGCCCCAGCCAGCAGAAGGAGAAATTGCCTGTCTGACCTCCAGGATCAACCTCCCCGAGGATGGTGCCTCAGCTTCTGCTTTGCGCCTTTGCAACCCCAGGCAACCATTCCTGGGGTTCCCCAGACCTCACACACTTGACCTGGTCAGCCCAAGAGCCCTGCTAGCCTGGTGTCACAGCCCCTCACCTCTTCTCATGGTCCGGAGGAGACGGCAGCGCTTCCTTCTCTTCCCACTCCAGCTCGTCCTGCTGACCACGAGGCACAAGGCTCAGAACTGGGCCCCAGGCGATGGCCAGCAGCACGCAGCATCCAAGCACCAATCCCTGTCTAGAGGAGCCCATCTTCCTGCTAAAATACAAGAAGAGGGCATGGGTTAGGAAGGGGCTCTACAGAGAAACAGCCAACAGACAGAACTGTTCGCCCAGCCCCACAACACACACACACACACACACACACAGAGCACAGCACAGCACAGCACACACGTGTACACAGATGCACACGCATGCACACACATGTGTGCAATTGCACACACAGGCACAAACACACGTGAACACACAAAAGCACACACGTGAACACACATGCACACACACACACACTGCTCCACAGAAGCTGCTGACTCACTGAGCACAGTGTCATCTGCACCAGCCTCTCAGGAAGGGGGACCCATCACGTGCCGGCCTCTGGCAATAAGCAGAATAATCTTGTCCAGGGCACCTGCTGGTCCCTCCCAAGACAGGCTTGTGGGCAGAAACTGGCTGCAGCAGTCCTCTGCCACCAGGGGGCGCTGAGCAAGTGTCCATTTGCAAACAACATAGTGAACATCACCCATCCACCCCTCCCCCATCTTTCCACCCCCAGCTGCCAAGCAGAAGCTTGGGGAGGACCCTCCTCTTCCAATATGGAGACTGTCCTTCAAGCCACTCCACAATCCCAGATGCTTCCCCACCACTAGGCAAAGAAAGTGAGGTGTGTGTGCAGTGAGTTTAAGTGCGTGTTTAAATTCTCTACTCCATCTACCTGTAACTCTCTAAGTGCCTGGCCTGGGGCAAGCAGGTCCAGGCACTCTTCCCCTTTGGCCGCATACCTCAGTCTGTGGTCCAGTTCTTGGTTTCTCAAACCCAGGACTTCTCTAAACTTCAGCTCTGGCTCAGCTGACCAGGACAAGGCTTCAAGGCCTCTGTGTTTTCAGCATATCCTGGTGCTGCCCATAATTAGCGCTTTGCATGCCACCTTCCAGCCATGTCCCCAAGCCCTGGCACCTGTCAGCAGGCCTGCATGCCTGCTCCTTAGCCTGGAGCACTTTTGTCCTGTCTGGACTGATAAGCAGCGAAGGGACCCAGCAGTGGCACCCGGCACCCAGCTGCAAGTCTGATCATCCTTCCAATTAATTCTCTGGGCCTGTGAGGTAAGCGGTAGGTCTGAGAACAAGTCCTTGTTAATCACTTCCATCCCACCCAGGCCTCGTGTGATCCTGTGGCTAATCTTTCCAGAAGACAATGTTCATTCATTCATTAGTGTGCCGTTCGCAAATGAAAAGAGAGGAGGCTAGGATTTCAGCCAGTAAAATGCTCGCCTCCAGGCACAAGGTCCTGAGTTCTGTCCCTAGAATCCACATACAAAATAAAGATAAATAAAAGCTGTGTGTGGTCTTACAAATTTGCACTCCCACCAGCAATGGAGGAGTGTTCCTTTTTCTCCACATCCTCTCCAGCATAGATTGCCGTTGGTATTTTTGATTTTAGCCATTTTGGCTGGTGTAAGATGGTATCTCAGAGTTGTTTTGAGTTGCATTTCTCTGATGGCTAAGGATTTTGAGCACTTTTGTAAATGTCTTTCAGACATTTTAGATTCCTCTGTTGAGAATTCTCTATTTAGTTCTGCACTCCACTTTTTAATTTCATTGATTGGTGTTTTGGTGGCTAGCTTCTTGAGTTCAGTATATATTTTGGAAATCAGCTCAGCCATTATAGGTCTGAGGAGAGATCTGGCACTAGGGAGATTTCCAGAGATCTACAAGGATGACACTAACTGACAATCTAGGCAATGGTGGAGAGGCTACCCAGAATGCCCTTCCCCTATAATGAGACTGATGACTACTTTATATGCCATCCTAGAGCCCTCATCCAGTGGCTGACGGAAGCAGAGGCAGACACCCACAGCTATACACTGAACTGAACTCTGGAACCCAGTTGCAGAGAGGGAGGAATGAAGATCAAAGGGGTGGGGACCAGGCTGGTGAATCTCACAGAAACAGCTGACCTGAACAAGGGGGAGCTCATGGACCCCAGAGTGCTGTCTGGGAGGCCAGCACGGGACTGATCCAGACCCCTGAACATGGATGTCAACGAGGAGGCCTCTATGAGGCCTCTGGCAGTGAATCAGTATTTTTCCCTTGTGTAAGAAGGGACTTTGAGAGCCCATCCCACATGGAGGTATGCTCTCTCCGCCTGGACACATGCGGGAGAGCCCAGGACCAGCCCAGGATGATGATGTGGAATTTGGGGAGCCCTACTCTCCATGGGAGGGGGGAGGGGGGAAGGGACTGGTGTGGGGTTGGAGGAGGGGAGGGAGAGGGAGAGGGAGAAGGGATTGACATGTGAAGCAAGCTTGTTCCATATTTGAACTAATAAAAATATAAAATAAAATAAATCCTAAAAAAAAAAAAAAAGCTGTGTGTGGTGGCCTGTACTTACAGCTGGTATCATGAAGTTGGAGAAGGCAGATACCTGGGGCTCACTGGTCAGCCAGCATCACCTACTTGGTGAGTTCCAAGCTAACAAGACACCCTGTCCCAAAAAACAAGGCAGCCTAGCAATGGTGGCGCACTCCTTTAATTCCAGCACTCGGGAGGCAGAGGTAGGAGGATCTTTCTGAGTTTGAGACCAGCCTGGTCTACAGAGTGAGTGCCAGGACAGCCAGAGCCACACAGAAAAACACTGTCTTGAAAAAAAAGTTAGATAGCACCTGAGGAACAGCATCTGAATTTGTTCTTTAGCCTCTACACATGCTCACACACATACATACACATACACACACATGCTCACACACACACATACACATACACACACATGCTCACACACACACATACACATACACACACACACACACACACACACACACACACACACGCTCACACATACATGCTCTCACACACACATGCTCACACACACACATACTCATACACACACACATGCTCTCATACACACACACACACGTGCTCACACATACATGCTCTCACACATACATGCTCTCACACACACATGCTCACACACACATGCTCACATACACATGCTCACACACACACATGCTCTCATACACACACACATGCTCACACATACATGCTCTCACACATACATGCTCTCACACACACATACATGCTCACACACACACATGCTCACACACACACACATGCTCACACACACATGCTCACACACACACACACACTCTCACACACACACAAAGAAATAAATACACACATGCTCACACACACACATACATGCTCACACACACACATACATGCTCACACATATACACATTCACACACAGAACTGTTCCTCTCCACATCTGAACATGCACAGCACATGTGTGCACATGCAAGGCACATGCAAAGGCGGGAACTGCTGGCCTACTACTAGGAGCCTGACTACCCTGGCGTGAAGATAAGCTTAACCTCAGGTGACACCAGCCCAGTTGGCCCTGTCAAGACTCACTTCATACCTCCCCAGCCCGGACCTGGGAAAACGCTCCTCTTCCACAGCGTTAGTCTCCAGCCGTGGAGACTTTTGCTTGGCCTTGAGACTCCATCAGACATGCATGTCCCTGGCCCAGACATGTGGCCTGCAGCATCCTGGACTTCACTAGTACTCAACAAATGTTTATCGAGCTGACTTCTCTTGACGTGTTTATTTCTCTATTTCTGTATTTCCTGTTTTCCCCTGGTGCCTTTGTAATTATTCTCCCCGCCCCTGGAAGTGTCAAGCTTGCAGCAGACAAAAGGGAATTTTCCTTTCTTTAAACTTAAGTCTGTTTGGGATTGTTGTTTTTTTTTAATTTTTTTACCTCACTGTGTAACTTAGGTTGGCTTCAAACTCTTAATTCCCCTGCCTCAGGCTCCTACGTGCTGGCAATGTAGGTACGCACCACCACACTAGGTCTAAACTTGATTTCCTATGAATCTGAATATATATATATATATATATATATATATATGAACACATATATGCACACATATCATCACACAGACATATATACACACATATACATATATAGATATATACACACATATATGCACACATATCACACAGACATATATACACACATATACATATCTATGTAACATGTATGTTTGGGCCATGTGAACGAAAGCAGACACAAAGCTACCTTTTAGTCTCCTAACCCATAGGTTCTTGCTGAAGTCCCCCTTATATGAACCCTGTCCTGTATATTTAAGGGTGCTTTCTGGAATCCCAGCCTCTATCCCAAAATGCTGTTAGCATCCTCATCTGTTTGTAGCAACCAGCAACTCCAGACACTGCCCTCTGTCTGTCCCCGCGGGCAAATTTACTCCCTGTGGCCCCCATGCACCGCTGGTGTGGTTCTTTCCAATGGAGAAAGAGGGTTTTCAACATGTTTGTCAGAAAAGGGGTTTCCAGAGGTGGGCTAGGAATGTGACATGGGCTCCTGCTGATGTCAGCGAGGTGGGCAGAGTGGTCCCCCAACATGTGCATGCAGCACACACGTGTGTGCACGCACGCGCACGCACACACACACATACATACACACACGCACACACACGCACGCATACACACATGCACACACACACACACACACGCATACACACACACACGTGTGCACACGCGCGAACACACACACACACACACACACACACACACACACACACTCCTTTGCAAATTCCAATCAAGCCAAGGCTGAAATATTCTCCTCCTAGACACCATCTCAACAACCATTTAGGCAAATCCTACAGCAAAGTCGGCCTCCACTTTAGTCACTTTTGGACCGATATCTCCCAACACCTAACCAAATTTGGCTACAGATCCCCTGTCTCCATTCCCAGCACAGAGAGCGATGCTTCCCTGCGGTGAGGCCATCTGGGGATGTGCTCCACACCGAGAGGTAGGTCCACAAAAGGCTATACATCCTGACCATGGGTGTGACACATGTCCCACAACCGGGACTCACATAGCCTATCTCTAGGTTCTGTTGCAGTAAGAGTCTCCAAAGGCAACCCCAGCATGACCCAGGGTCTTCAGCAGCCTCTCCCGTCCCTGGTCCCTGTCCCATGCCAAGGAGAGCTGAGTTCCTGGGAAACTCTGTTATCTTATTTCTTG